TGCCGAACGCACACCCACTCCTTTGCCGAATATGTGGCCTCTCCTAAGCCGGACATGCGGGTTCTCCTGTGCCGGACATGCGGGCTCTCCCGTACCGTGCATACAGCCTCCCTTAAATAGACAGGCTGCCTCTCACGTGTCGCGCACGCGACCTCTTCTGTGCCGGAAACACGCCCGCCCCAGTGCTGGACGGCTGTTCCTGTGCTAGACACAAGGGCCCTCATGTGACAGCACGCGGCTAGTCTAGGGGGGACAACCGGCCTCTCCTGTGCTCGACGGCCGTACCTGCTTCGGACAAGCGGCCCTTTCTGTGCCGGACATCCGGCCGCTCTTGTGCCGGACATTCGATATTCTCAGTGGTTGAAACAGTGACGCTCTACTGATAGGCTCACCGCCGCTGCACTGAGGTACTGGAGTCGCACGCTCCGTTGAGATGCAGAGCATTTTTAAGAGTTCCTGACATGTGGTCATTAGATCCTAAGTCCACAGCTGGAACATTTAATATGCTGCACGTGAAGATGCCCACAGCAGGTTGGCGGACAGATGCTCTGGGCGACGTATTATATGTACGGCGTTCAAAAGCTTTTTAGAAATGGGTGATTTGGGTTCGTGAGCGGCGCTGAAATCAGAATTGTTGCGAAACACTGAAAAGGTCGTCACATAACAAATAGCTGTAGCGCCTGAAATCCGAACAAATCGAGAAATTACGCTAAGCACGGCTTATAACGCGGGCATTGACCCACCATCCATGCAAACAAGGCCATGAAATTGAGCATCCAGTGTTGGATTTTTTGTCGGTGATTCTCAGAAGGGAAGTAAAAATTCCAAAGGCGTGGACTGTAAATGCTGGAGATTTGAAATTTGGGCAGCATAGAAGACCATGAGATTTCATTTAATATGCTGCAGTAACATGCATAGGCCATAGCTGCAGTATGAAACAACATAGCAGTTATTTAAGGTAACTCAGTTTGTAACATCAACCGACAATGTGTATGACAGTGTACAACTGACAATGAAGCGGTGGAGCTTTTATGGACGTGTTAAACCACGCAAGAGCTCTTCCTCCAACACTGCCATTGCCCAAATATGTCGTGAGAAAGTGCATGGGGTTTGTTACGTGTCCTTTATGGTTATAATGCGCCCGCTGACCAAACACGTTCTTGCCTTTCTCCGTACATACTCAATCTTTGATTTGAATCGAACCGACGTGCTCACCGGCCTTAAGCCCGCTGCACCGGCCACTCATGCTTTCAGACCTGCACCCAAACCACCGGAGCTTGTGACAAAGTCAGCGAATAATACCTTTGTGCAAATGAAGCTTCCGAAGCAGGAATGTTTGTTATATTTATGACGCGTGACACTTAATTTCACTTTGAATGCTGCATTTGTAGTTATGCAACAAAGGTTCATGATAGATTTGGCTCAAGGTGACGATAAAAGCTATTCTCACATTTCTCGGTGACAGAAATCTAGAAAAAGAGATCATGGGTGTAACTTGACTGCCAATTGAGAATGCAGTTGCATTCCGAACATTTCGGAAATGAGTATTGCGTCCATGGTATTGCAAAGAAAGAATATACCTAAAGGACGCGTTTGTACCATCAACATTTTTCGGAGAGTTCCACTTCTGATAGAGATGCTTGATTGGTGGACAGCAGCTCGAAATCTGCTAGATTAATGTATAAAAACTGAAAGCAACACGAGCTACAAAGCTCTTGACTAATCATCAATAGCTGACAATTGCTGACGGTGTGACGGAGGATATAAGCTTATCTCATGTCCGCCCATGGATTAGTAACAATGGCTTCATTGGCCAACGGCAGCAGTTGATTTATTAGGTGTTCACGCGGTCATCGTTCCCTTGCCATTTGCCTGTGCATACTTCCCTTGGCCGCTTCAACTTCAGGAGGCTTGCAATGAAGCCTCGAACCCAGCGTCGCGCGGGGTGCTGCGAAACCGCAGCAGGTCGGCTGGCGGCAACTGGAACGCACGGGTGGGATCAGAGAGGCGTCGCTGAAGGCTCGGCTTTCTGGCTGTGGTGGTATGATCGGAAATGCAGGCGAAGCGAATGGTGATATATTGTCGTATCGCACAGGTAATTGGGGCTTATGTGCTTGACTAAGATCACCATCCGCTTGAAATTTGACTTTCAAACGGTATTCATATGGGTGCAATTGCTCAGCGCTCATGCGCTTTAGTCAGGACTTCATAAGCACGCACCAAGGAAGGAAGTGAAAGTCCTCTTCCGTAATTTGGCCGAATAGCATTCAATCGGTGTCTGGCCTAATCACCCGGGCTTGTGGCCTCACACCATGTTGAAGGTAATTTATGATGAGTTGATGGGGTGGAAGAACGGGAAAACATCATTTGCGTGCCTGGTTTATTCACTTGGTAGCACCTAACAAAATTTTGGGAAATGTAACACTCGTATAACAATCGTGCATTCCCATAACCTCCTGAGATTGCTATTCCTGTCCTTTCTACTTGGCTCGATGTAAGGCCTCGCATGATGGGGGAGGGGGGGGGGGGGTGGTGCCCGGAAGTTATCCCCGGTGTGTAGGCAGATAAATGCGTTGCGTTGGCGTTCAAGACGCTTGAACTTTTGATCAAGTCAGCAGTGATTGAGCGATTATGCACCTTTATTTTCTGAAGGTATACACTATTCTCTCAACATGGGATAAAAAGCCATGCACTGTATTCAGAAAGGAGCTGGTGCTTTTTGGCCCTTCCAATGCCTAACGCCGTTTCCTCGAAAACAAACCTCACTTCACAGACTTGACTGGCCCACTGTCCTATAAACTGCTTTAAAGCCGAGAGCGTCATTTAAGACGCGAGTGTTGACTGCCATATACGCAGACATTTAAATCCTCCGCCCCCCCCCCCCCCCCCGGTGAAATCTCCGAGGAAATCTCTAATCCGGAATGGGAAAGGTAAGTTAGAATTTGCAAACGTACGACGGCCCAATGCGCCACTGTCACGTCTACGCGCATCTATTGTCTTTCGTCTAGGCCAGCTGCACGCATCAGGACATTGCTACTGGGGGATCACTTGCCAAAGAGGCCAGGCGCAAGAACGTGCGCCTTTTGTTGTCGGTTCCTTAGCAACCGGAATTACCGCAATTGGTGACGGAGAAGCTTGCGGGTAGCTTGTGTCCGCGTATTTCCTATCCAGCCAGTGTAATTGCCTCGAAGAAGGCTGTCGCTGCAAGGTTTTTTCAAGAAAAAGGTAAGACACGCTACGTTAAGTTTGCGTCTATGATGTGAAATAGCCATGCAAGTTTTCAAAGGCATTGGCGCTTTGGGACTTCACGAGCCCTTCCATCGTCATTCTGAGTGACTGAATGAATGGCATGTGCCCAGGTGCGTACCCACTTTTGCAAGCGTATTTTTAATGTGTGCACGAGGAGACGTTGCTTTTTTCATATGGACGAAACCCAAGAAAACCGTGTCTTTGTTCATGAAGGCATTTTACGGGTAGAGCAGAAACACGCGCTAAGCACAAAAATGCGCCTCCTTGCAGGTCCTTTTTCGTGTAAGTGTTTATACTCGTGTCCATTTTTCTGGTATTTATTGTACGAATTTGCTTTTCCGCATTCGAACATTGCATGTCTTTGCTAGGTTACATTGTTTTGAAGTGGCATTTTCCATGCGTTGACGCACGCCAGCTGAAGACTTTCTTTCAGCTCGATTGGATTATTTTGCTGTCAGGGGTGTCGTTTTGGGAGGACGCGATACCTTTCAAAACAAAATCGCACATGCGAATGACATTGTTTGGTCCATTTTTATGCTATGCCATAAGCTTATTATTTATCTCTGACATGATTGGGATGCAGCTACATCCCGAGTTAACAATTAAGTTACACCCATGGTTTTATGCAAATACATATATTTGGTGCATGTGTGTATGTGTTTTATGTTTTAGGCATTTTTTGTGTAGATGATTAGGGGACGAAGGCTCGACGAACTAGCCTTCTCCCAACGGTGAGCTCGTTAACAGATTTAGACCATGGGCTAACTAGAAGTAATGTGTAAATAACATGCACTTTATTGTAACCTTACAAATCGTCGGTTCTATTTCTCCAACAGGCTGGGGCAAAATTGTTAAGCTCGGACCACCTGGGTGTTTTTGGTTATGTGCCGACGCGAGAAACGAACTTAGCGAGGGCCCTGATCCCAGCGCCAAACGAACAAACGATCGGCCAAGGGGTTTGCTGCCAAATCAACCCTGATTTTGCTGCTTATTTTCGATAGTGCATAGCACTAGATAAACGAATGTTTTATGCCAGCCCGCTCAATTCAACAGGATTGTTTTACGATAAAATGCCTCATGACATCTTACCTGACTGCCAATGTAATCCTATAGAAAGTGCCATCCGTAGATTTTACGGACAGTGCAGTAAAATCCCACTTTATTGAAGGCCGGATTGCCTGAAACACATGCCAGCGCATAATGCGATTTTGTCGTTCTTATGTCAAACTGCCCTTAATGCTCGCAGGAGGATAATCCTCGATATATATGGATCGTAGCGGTATACTAAGAACTTAGGCATGGCATTTGATTAAATGGCTAATGGCATTCAGACGTCTCACAGTGATATGGGCATTGGCGTTCTCTGAACACTGCTATTTGGATCCTGCGTTTGAGTCGCAGATTGTTAACAACTTACTCGACGGTATCTGCACAACAGTAAGAGTTTCCATGTTACGCCTTCCCACGCGCGTGCTCACAATCTTCGTACCGCCGGCACCTCCCCACCCGCTCCTTTCCCGATCTCCGCAGGTTCTGGCGGCGCTACGGCAGCGGCAACAGTTATGAACCAGCTGCGCGTGCGGTACCACCAGCTGAAGATCGACATGTTCGCGCTGTACCAGGCCACCATGGACAGCCGGGGCGTGAAGGTACACCGCGTCGAGCAGGCGCTGGGCGACATCCACACCCCTGGGCCCAGCGGCGTCCAGCTGCGCAATGAGGACGAGGCCGTACGTTCAGGCGCTCGCGAGATGGAGAAGAAGATAAGCGTCGGCGAGCACGGCCGGCGCCGGCGGCACATGCTGCGCAAGGTGGGCTACAGGCCGACGGCAGCGCGCCGGCCCACACTGGCTGTCCATGGTGGGCCACAGGCCGACGGCAGCGCGCCGGCCCACCCTGGCTGCTCATGGTCCCATGACGGCACGACACATGTGCTGTCCCGACATGGTGCTAACGGTGCGTGCGCTATCCCGTTTCCCCAAGTACGGCAGTGGATATTCAGGTTTCCTCGTGCACCGACGCTGCTTGTTTCTCGCAGGCCTTTTGACATTGCCTGGAGATACAAAGGGCTGGTTGAGATTCGACGCGCGTGATGGGCAGCACGCAGGGGTCTTAGTTCATGTGGTTTCAAATAAGTTAATGCAGGCGGCGTGTAAATGGGTGTGGCAATGTGTTTCGGTGAATGCAATTTAAGGCAGTTGGATGTTATAACGCTCCCCAACCAAATCATATTGAGCATAACAAATGCGCAGTCTACCTTCATGGTCCTTCCATTGCACGAGCGGTTTTGTCGGCGGCATAGTCATCAAGGGCAACTAAGTTATGAAGCCTGTATGTTATGGATATTTTCCTACATAAACGTCGTCGACGCCAAATTATTTTTTATTATCAACCTAAGCTAGATACATTTGTGTCCATAACACACATCTTTCGACGCGAGCTTTTGCATACGATCCTCTGCTGGCACACTTTTGTCGCTGTGATTCTTTCACCAGGAAAACATTTACCAAGGATCGCTTGCATACCACCCGTAACTGTCACGGGCTTTTCGAATGCGAGCCTTATCTGTTGCACAAACAATCTTTACGGATAGCCCGCGTACGCATTACGAAGCCTATCCATCCTGGGACATATGCTGATGAAAATCCATGTATATGAGCATTTTTCATCAGGTATGTTTCATTCACGATGGTTTTGCCTGCAGGTTTCCTACCCCAAGCCTTTCCAGCTTAAGGGGCTCTTCCATTACAAACTTACAGTCGACCACCAGCTGCTTGCGGCTCCTTTCATAAGTGACCTTTGTTCTGGAAATAAGGTCACGCACGCATATAGATTCTCATAAAAGCGTTTTCTGGCATTACGATACCTGTTCACCTGAGCAATTTCGCACCAATCGTAAAAGGACTATCGTATCTGGTAAGGAAGGCATAGTTCTCGTATGTGGCCTGTGACGACAGCCCAAATCGAGTGCTGCTCGCCGACAAGACTGCTTGGTGAGCCGCGATCTCTCCGGCAGCTGAACTTCTCGCGTCCGTCCGGGTAGGCGGAGTCGACCGAGGCGGGCGCCGTGCGTGCCCGAAGGCGCCCCGCGCCACCGAGACCAGGCTGCCGCGAGCTCGACCGACACAGTAACATCACGGTGCTGCGCTGCTACCGCTGCACCAAGCTGCTTCGACCGACAAACGGGCCTAATGTCCAGCAACTGGCGAGACGAGAATCAACTGCCACATCGTGTGCCTCTTCTGTCGAGAGGAGTTCATCACCAACGCCAAACACGACCAGCACATCCGGCTTTGTCAGGCGCTGGTCTGCGCCCAGTGCAAGACCCAGTGTCCGGATTACCCGGAGTACGAACACCACATGCTCGTCTGCCAGTACGCCAGCAAGTGTGAGCCGGTGGAGGTGCTGGCTGCGCGCGTACAGTGCCCCTACTGCGACCGGCTCTTCACGCAGATCCATATGTTCAAACGCCACCTCAAGCTGCTGCACGAGGTGGAGCACATGCAGCGCTTTGGCCTCAAGATCCAGCGCAAGTTTCGGCCGAACGAGCGCGAGTTCCCATGCCGACAGTGCGGCCGCACCTTCAACCGCGTCTACAACCTCAAGATGCACCAGCTGTCGCACGGCCGGCACGGCCAGTACCGCTGCGAGACGTGCAACAAGACGTTCCGCTTCCGCTCCAACCTGGACCGGCACGCGCGCTCGCACAACAACCAGCAGCACGTGTGCCGCCTCTGCAGCCAGGAGTTCCGGTTGCTGCGCCAGCTGCGTGGCCACATGAACCTGGCGCACGACAAGGACGTTTTCGCGTGCGACATCTGCCAGAAGAGCTGCGAGGGCTACCAGCGGCTGCTGGCGCACACGCGCACGCACCACTCGCAGAAGTCGTACTCGTGCGGCGTGTGCGGCCGCACGTTTGCCACCAAACACAAGTACCGCGAGCACATGAACGTGCACGAGGCGCGCTACACGTACGAGTGCCACCTCTGCTCGGAGCGCTTCTTCACACGCGACCACCTGCGCAAGCACTACCGCAAGCAGCACCCGGAGGTGAAGCGGCTGCCTCGGCGGGCGACCACGCGCCGCTCGAGGAGCGGCGCCCCTTCTTCGAGCCCGCCGACCTCGGACCCATGATCAACGACACGGTGACGCTGTATCAGGCGAGCGCCGACAGCGGGGACGCGTCCGTCGTCAAGTTCGAGGTGGTTGGCGAGCCGTGCGAGGAGCAGGTGGTCGAGGCGTTCGCAGCCGACCAGACCAGCCAGGAGATGATGGACGGCGGCTACCAGGTAGGGCTCTCGGCGCCGCCGACACGCGCCACGGCCGCAGAGTTGCGCTGCGCGTGCGCCTCATGGAACGTGGTACGCTGGGATGTGCTCGTGTTCCCACGGAAACACTTACCTCTGGAGCTCTCTGGTGGTTGGAATATCGTCATAATTATGGTACAGCTTATCACAGAGGACTCATGGCTTACTATCATTTGCCGATTAACCGCGTCAGCTACAGTCTTGACGCGGCTCCTGCCACACGCTGAGTTTGCTGGCGGGCTACAATTGTTCATGTCTCAGGTGTACGAGGGTTCTGAACAACACGTGCTCGGAGAGTACAGCACGGTGGCGGAGGGTGACGCCTACAGTACCGCCGGGCCCTGCCATCGAGGCACGCACCCGGTGCAGTACTTCCAGCAGCAGGTCAGATAACCTCTTTCCCGCGGCAAACTTCGCTAACTGCACTAACGACCCGACCTGCGAAACTTCAATGGGCCTTTCAAATGAGTTTACTCCTATGTCCGATAGCGTTGCATAGCTGTCTACGGCCCGATCGATAAGGACAGCGTACGTGAAGAAACACGACCGCTGCGAGCCCACGTGTGGCAGGT